TTCAATCTCCACCCAGTGTTCTGGTTCTGCTCTCCAAGGCCAAACTCAACAAGTTGACAGATCTTCAAATACGTGAAGAGAACTATTATGTTCTCCCTGAGTCTTCTTTTCTTCGGGCCCTTCACTATCCTGGTTTGCCCTTCTCTGTGTACTCTCCAGCTTATAGATGACCTTCTTAAACTGTGATACCCAGAAGAGGTCTGATGAGGGCAGAATATACAGTGGTTCTATCACCTCCCTATTCTTAGAAGCTATGCCCCTTTTACTACAGACCGAGATTGCTTTAATTTTTTCATTGCCATCTCACAGTTAAATCATATTGAACTTTTAGTCCATTAAAACTTCCATGTTTTTCTGCTATCCTACCATGCTAGCCACAAATCTTATATTTGTGAAAGTGATTTTTTTTGTACCCAAGAGCAAGACTTTATATAATACAGTGAACTGGCCAATGGCAGGAGGTGGGGGTAGTCCTGTGAGCTTGAACACATATTCCACCAACTATTTTAAGTCCAAGTGATCATATGGAAACTTTGGAGACCTAGTTCCCAGTCATGACAATTCAGGATTTCATACTGTGTGATGATGACAAGTTTTGTGATTGGCTCTGGAGCTGGAAGAACCAGTGACTCAGGAATGTGCATCCAAAAGTTTCAATCCACCCATTTCTTGGTCATTTTCCTTCTTAGAGGATGAAAGTGAGTTCTTTGAGCTGATCCTAAGAGTTTGGTGGAAGAGGCTTTGGCTCCTTCTCTCACCCACTTGTCAGCTGTGAGCACATCTCGGTATCTGATGTTTATTCTTTCCTCATCTTAGGCCAATGAGTGATGTAGCTGTATCTAGGCAGTAACTACACAATAGTTATCAAGGGAAACAGTGGTGAGGGAGAAGGGAGCAGTCTGTGTGTCTGAACAGGTGGTTTAGCACACTGAAAATTACAGTAGAGTACTGGTCCCTCTCCTCTCTCAGAAGGAAGTCAAGGCAGTTATTATCCTCTCACTCTAAGTCACAGGAGTTTGGGTATTGTCTCTAGGGGGTATGTGGAAGCATTTTACCAAACCTGGTCTGCTCTGCACCATGCCTCCCTTGGCCCAGCATCAATCGTAGACTCTCTTCTCATAATCTTTATAAGGGAAGCCCAGAGGAGCACAAATCAGTGACCAAGTGCTAAATTCTGGAACAAGTCCAGAGATAATGGCAATCAAAATGGGGGGAAAATGGATTTTGAATGAGGAAATGTTATTGGAAGAAGTTGGTAGAGGGATGAACTAGAAGTGAAGAAGGAGAGCAAGTATCCCTACTTCTGTCCTTGAGGATCAAGTTGAGTGAAAGAAATAGCCATCGATGGAGAGGACTGGGAGAGGTATGGTATAGAGTGCCAAAGGAATTATGAGTTAAAAGGTACCTTACATATTACCTAGTTTAAACACTCTCAGTTTTGGGTGTCCTTAGGGAAATCCATTTTTCATTAGAAGTCAGGAAGTAGGAAAAATCTGAGAATACAGGTCAAGCCTGTTGAAAATAGAATAGAGATCCCAAAGGACAAAGCCTCCCAAAGACAATGTGGAACTGGATTGTGGAGGGAAAACATCTTGAATTCAAGGTAGTGAGTCTAGATGTCTGAGACTGGGTAAATCACTATTATAAGAAATCACATGGAGTGACACATTAGCAGCAGGAGCTTATAAAATTAACCAGAGGAAGCACGGCACTACGGAAAAAGCAAATGGATTAAATTCTAGCTCTGCCACTTACTAGCTCTGTGGCCTTGGGCAAGTAACTTGATCTCTCTGGGCCTCAGTTTCCTGTATAAACTGAGGTTGGGTTAGATGTGATCCCTTCCAGCTCAAAATCTATGATTCTATGTTCATAGATCAGTGCCTAAATTATAAATGGAAAGTAGAATGCTGATTTTTAAAGAGGCTGGCTGCCTGCATTTTTTCCTACTTTCAGTTCTAAAATGTACTTCTGATGCCAGGTATGGAGTTATGATAAATGTCTTTCATGACTTCTTCCAAGGAATTTATGAGAAGATTCATCAGGGCAGGGTTAAGAACAGAACCCATTAACACTTGACTCCCTAGAGATCTTCCTCCATGTTGATTTTACTTAATTACTCAACATTCTCTGCTAAATCCACATAACCATACTATTATTTAGTCCACATTTCCAACTAGTAAAGACTATCATGAGAGACATCACAGGGATTACACTTCTCTATTTTTTGCTGTTCATGCATTAGTTCATCCCACCTCAGGAAACTTTTTACCCTTTTCTTCTCCAATCACTGGACTTACGGTCTCTATATTCACCCTATGCCATTTTATACTATAGTTTTCATGCATATGTTCTCTAACACATAGATTTTAAAGTCATAGATGGCAATGATCATATTTATACTTCTTTATATGCTTAACAGCACCCAATATATTGTCTTCCATGTCATAAGTACTAGATTTTGTTAAATAAGTAGTAGGTGCCTAATAAGTACTTAAGTTGAATTAAAGCAGTTAATCTTGTCCTATGACTTGAAGATCACTGGAAGAAATAAAATGAAAATTATTTTAAAAATTAAAATATTGTAAAATCTCATTTATTTCGACTCCAAACATACTGAAAAGTTAACTAAGCATTCATTTGCTACACTTTCCTTTCATGAAAAATAATGCTAAATACAGACTCGTTTTTTAAAAAAATCCATTTCTAGACTTGTCTTGAAAACAGAACACATTCATCTTAATCTCCCTTATGTAGAATATGCTAAGATCCTAAACTCGAGTCTCTTCTGAGTCAAAGATTAACTTATTTTTATTGTAATTTTAACTTCCAGTAGTCCATTATTTAGGCAATGCAACATAGTAAAAATACTAGAATTAAGAGATTTGGGTTCTAATCTTGGCTTGGCCACTAACTCTATGACTTTGGGAAAATTGATGGACTTCATCTGATGAGTTTCTTCATCTGTAAAGTGAGAGGAATGGCCTAAGTGAGAGTATGATCACCATAGGGATACCTTCAGGTTAAAAAAAAAAAATCTGATTCTAACCAGAATACACTACATTCCTCAACCATTTTGAAGAAGAGGGGATTTACTATGTAATGGTAATTATGCCTTTTAAGATATTCATAATTAGACCTGCTACTGAAGCTATCTCCAGGGCTTTGAGGATATCAACCAAAAACTTACAGTAGATCACATTGTGGGCTGGGGCATAGCAGTCTAACTTGCTGGTTCTGCTAAATCAATAAATTAAAACTCTATAAGTCATCAGGATGAAATATATTTTCTCCTTTCTCCCCCCTACATGGCAGAGAGACTAAGAATGTATACAGCACAGATATTATACATGGCTAGATATAGTCCCTGTAGCATATAATTTTGCTTGTTTTTTTTTTTCTTTTTGCTAGGCAATGGGGTTATGTGACTTGCCTAAGGTCACACAGCCAGTAAGTGTCAAGTGTCTGAGGCAGGATTTGAACTCAGGTCCTCCTGACTCCAGGGCTGAAATCTATCCACTGAGCCACCTAGCTGCCCCTATTTTTGCTTGTTTTTCTTAGTCACAGGGGAGTGTTGAATCTGGAAAGGGAGTGTCAAATGACATGCGAATACAAAAGGCATGATTAAAAGTTTGTTTTTTTTTTTTTTTTTCCTAAAAGGCACAAGGTACTCTACTAAGGAATTTGGAAAACTACACATATTTCAGTTAAACTTTTCCAGAATTAAACATTTGCTAAAGATGAGTTATTCAGCTTAGTCACTAAGGCCCCTATTTAGGGTAAAAAAGACAAAACTTTGGAAAAAAAAAACTAGAACAAGGAAGATGACTCTTCTGATTGCCTTCTTTTTTTCTCTTCCCAGTGAAATGTTAAGCAGCCCCTACATTAGAGAAACTGAAGACATTTATTTCGCCATTTACAAAGGATAGAGCACTCAAGTTTAGCAAAAACCTCAGCTACTGATTACATATCATCTCCTTCAAGCAATTCAACTCAATTACAGATGAAGAACTTTCACTTTTGCAATATTCTTGGAAAAAGTCAAGCATTATTCATTATCCCCTTATACAGTATGACAGTTATACACAGACAAATGAGTCCTGAAATCCAATTTCAAGTTTCTTTTTTATGAGGGAAAGTCAAAATTTGATTTTCCAACCTCTACCTGAATAGACCCCTACAAAAAGGATATAAATTATGCCGTGCATGTAGAATAATAAATGATGATCAAGTTAGAAAGCAGCTTACCCACCATACTAACTTGAAGGTTGAGCTTTTAGTGCCTGAAAATGGGCACTTCAGCATTGGGAACTGTTCTCTCTGCAAAATGACACTATACTAAGTAGTATAAATGCTGCTACCTGTGCTCTCAAACATCACTGAGACATATATCTATCTATCTATCTATCTATCTACATATATACACATATATACACGTCCATACACACATATCCGCACACACATAGTACATAAACGCACAGAGTACATATACATGTATAGACGTACACACAATACATATATATGTGTGTGTATGAATATGTGTTCTTTCTGATGTAGCATAGGTGCTGCTACCTGTGCTCTCAAACACCACTGAGACGTATATATGTATGTATACACATATACACACACACATACACATTTATACATGTGCACGCAGTACATATATACATACATATATGTGTATATGACTATGTGTGTTCTTTCTGATGTAGCTAGCATAGGTGCTGCTACCTGTGCTCTCGGGTCTCAAGAGAATACAGCACCACTGAGGCAAGTCTATCTAAGTATATATACTTATACACATAATACCCACATATAAATACACATACATATATGTGCGTATATACACGCACATGTTCTTTCTGATGTGGAAAAGGCTATTCATTTTAAGGATGAACGTTTTATTTCTTCCGACAGAAGAGCCCTACAGCGGGCAGGTCCCTGTTCCTGGAACGCAGGGGCTCTTCCCTCCCCCCCCAACCAGCCTCTGCTTACCCACCTACCGAGAAGGCTTGGGAGGGACCTTGGTGTCAGAGGGGATGAGGTTATAAATGCTCTCGGGAGGGCACAAGGAATCCATGGCCACCAAGTGACTCCTCACCGCCCCCTCTCCTCCACGTTTCTCTGCACTCCGGCCCGCTTCTTTCTTTCCTCCTCCTGCCGCCCGTCAGCTCCCCCACGTCTTGCTCTCTCCCTTGCCCCCTCTCTTCGCCCCCTCAGCCTTCCCTCGTGTCCTCTCTAGTTCCCAGCTCCCCTCGTGGAGTCGCCCGGCCTCGGCCCCGTTCCTGTAGTTTTGACTGAGGCCACACTCTCGAAGGGGGCTCGGTGTTGTTGACCTGGCGGTTGCCATGGGAACAGTTGCCGGGTAACACAGAAGGGAAGGGGGAGCAAAGAAAGCGTGAGGGTTCTCTGCTTTCCTGCAGGACTTTCTCCCGCCCGAGGCCAAGGCCTTCGAGGTCTCTGGTGGGGAAGACCCTCTGTTCGTAACCACATCCCTCTTTCCAAAGTTTTATCTATACATCTGTTCTTTCAGGCTCTTTGGAGATGGAAGAGAGATGTCAAACCTATTCAAGGAAAGGAGAGCCTGCACGCAGGCGTAACGAGTTGCTTAGTAATTAGCCCCTGGCGCAGGCGCAGTGTAGCGTGTGGGGGTGGGGTGGGGGTAATGGAGTTCGAGGGAAGCGACGCAGAAGGAGGGGGAGGGGAGAGAGGCGTTGCCCAGGAAGAGCCTAGGGGTCCAGATTCCTTGGGCTGTGGGGAGGAGTGTGAATATGGGAGAGGAGCGCAGGTGCACCCACGGGGTGTGGACTCTGCGCACGCGCGCAGGGCCCCCGGATCGCCGCCGGCCGCATCCGGGAGTGCAGGACCATTGAGGGCTGGGGTGGAGCGGGGCGGAGCCAGGGGCGGGGGGGGGCGTGCGCCGCGCAGGGGGCGGAGCCGTTATCCGGGCGCGCGCCGCGGCCGTGGGGGCTGGGCCGGGGCTGGTGGGCGCGGGGAGGAGATCCCTATCTTGGCGAGCGGCGGTTCCCGGCGTCGGATGCGGCCTCTGGATGCCCCTTTCCCTTTTCCCTTTCCTTCCCCATTCTGCTTTGGGTGAGTCATTTGAGAAGGAAGCCAGACGGAAAGCCCACAGGATCCGCTCCGCTGCCCCGCCCCCCCCACTCGGTTACCTGTCAGGGACTCCATCCCACCTCCCCGTGGCGCCCCTTCCCTGCCTCGGCAGCCCCCCACCCTTCCTGCTGGAAGACCGCTCCCACCTGGCCGGGCCTCCTCCCCCTCCTCCCCTGACTTGTAATCTAACCTTCCTTCCCCCAGGTGTGTTAAGGAACCCTCCTCCCAGCGCCGGGGGAGGTCTTTGAGCCTTTGTGAAATGTTACCTGTCCTCATTTTAATATATTTAGTATCTTTAAACCCGCCTTCCGAGCATGCAGCTCATCAGCTGAAATACCAGCTCCCAGCCCCTGGTTTCTACACACCATGCTTTCTTCCTAGTTGTGGAGCGAAAGCAACCCCCGTACAAATAGCAGCCATCCCTTCAAAATCTGTTAGTAACTAGATTTTGGAAATAAGGTGAACCAGCCTTACCAATAGTCATTTGAATAGTCAAATGAAATAAAATGTAAAGCGCTAAATAAGTAATGCTGGCTGTTACCATTTTTATTGTTATTTCTCCAAGGTGAGTAAAGGTACCAGGGGAATTAGGAAAGGAGATTGTTTGGCTCCATGTTATTATTTATGAAATTCCTCCATGTGGATAAATTTTTAAATGGCTTCATGGACAAGGAAATTTCTTGGTGTGCATTTACAAGGCTACAGAATTCAGGGCCTTATCAGGTAGAAACATTCTATCGAATTGGACAGGATAGAATTGGTAATAGTTAATGCCTAACCAATATTGATCTGGCTTGTCATTCAACCCCAGGCTTCGAGCAGATTTCATTTCAGGTAACTGAAAAACCACTTGGAGAGAGACACAAATGATGGTCACGGTTTCAGGTAGGGCAAGTTATTTGGGAATTGTTCTGTCACCGAAAAAGCTATGAATATTGTAGTTTCAGATTCCTAGCCCTTTGCATTTCCTTGTTTGGTTTTAGTACTGGTGACAATATGTTTAGGGATTAAAGATGAGTTCACACAGACCAGTTTTTTAGCTTAGTAAAGAATGGCAAAGGATTATTAAGTATTGGAACTGAGAAGGTGGAATCCAAGCTCTTGGGATTTAATCATACTAATGTCATTAGCTCAGTGGATAGATAGCCTTTACTTGCTTTTTTAATAGGGAAGATTTGGAAAAGAGGAACTACTTTAGTCTTATAATTTTCTATAAAAGCCAGTCAACTTTTTTCCAACTTGAATCACTGACAGAACTATTTACAGTCTCAATATTTGACTTCTTTCGAGACTTCTGACTCTAAGGTGGTTTTTTTATTTATTATGTCTAAATAGTATATGAACTTAGACTTGACTTTCACATCTCTTCACTGTAGTTTAATCAGTTTGGTCACACTCGGGAAGAAACTGAGAAATAATTCTTTACATCAGTGGACTGAAGTTGAGGCTCGGCTTCTATTTGTTATTCACCACTGACTTTGGAGTTGACCTTAGGTAAGTCACTTACTCTGTTTGTGAATTGGAATGGAGGTAGTAGGGTTTTTTTAAATATATATTTTTACCTTATTGTATGAGCTTTTTATACCTTCAGCCGATGTCAGCCTACTTGAAGTTCTAGTCTCTAGACTAGAACTTTTTTCTAGAACTTTTTTCATCCTGGAGAGGAGCATTGCCAAGGAGAAGCAAAAACAATAATAACTAAATTTAAGTACTTACGGTAATGATTTGAGTAAATGGGATAATCATAGGTTTTAAAAATGCCTCCTGTATGCCACAAGAACTCTGGGTGCCAGAGGAGATGAAGACAAAATGTGAAATAGTTGCAGTCCTCAAGAGGCTTAGATTCTTTTGGGGCTAGAATGTAATGTAAAGTTAATAGAACAGTATTTTCCCAATTCCTCCCTTCCCTCAGGACAGACTTCTTTGGTACATCAAAAGATTAAGAAAGTCACCAGAGAATTTTGGACATTGAGGGTGTTGACAAAGATGGATTTAATTTAGTTTTCTTATATTCAAGGATTTTTAATGTTCTTTCTCTAAAGAGTGATGCTCACTATGTTCATAACTGAGATGAATGTATGTTTGGTTTTAGAAGGCACATAGTGGATATTTTGCCTTTATTTACAAAGAAGATACTTGTGAAATCTTTGAGAAGTAAATAGGCTGACCTTAACAGGCTGTCCATGGGCATTTGGGGATATACTTTTGCTATTGCATCATCACCAACCCAGAATAGATGTTCTGAGGGTTCTCTTTAAAATAACAACCGTCTAATCTCAGACATTTACTAGTTGTGTGACCCTGGGCAAGTCACTTAACTTCTGCTTGTCTCAGTTTCCGTATCTGTAAAATTCAGATAATAATAGCACCTGCCTCTCAGGGTGGATATGAGATAAAATAGGATAATATTTGTAAAGCACCTGTATAAATGCTAGCTGCTATTATTATTTTGAATGTTTTTCTAACTGCAAACATAATATTTTATCAAAATAAGCATGTATTTTAAATGTTGTAAAGAAACCATATATTGTGTTAAGCAACTAATTTTTTTTTCTCTCCTGAGATACAGAATGGTATAGTGGAAAGACCTCTGGACTTGGAGTCAAAAGAGACCTGGGTTCAAATCCTGCTGCTAACACTTAATAGCTGTGTGAACGTAGGCAAGTTATATAACCCTTCTGAGCTGAGTTCCTGAGTTTCTTCTGTAAAATGGGAGTAACCATACCTATAGTACTTGGGCTGTTGTGAGGTTCAAATGAAATAATGTATGTCAAGTAGATTTAAAGTAATGGGTAAAAATCAGCTATTATTTAATTATAGAATGGAATCAATAAATGAGCTTTCCTGATTTTTAAAAAATTGCCAAGTAATTTATTAATTAGAACAAATTAGGCCTCATGAAGAAAATATTTTCTCTGTACTTGATAATTGGATCAGGTTGAATAAATTGGATCACTAATTGAATTAATTTGGGGAGAAAGGAGTACCTTGGAGTTTTCATTTCAATGATGTAGAAAACTATTGATGAGGAAAGTCCCTCTAACCAGACTATAAACTGTACTGTAGGTTCTAGTCTCAGTACCTGGTGCATGGAGAGGGTAAGTTGACTTGCTTGGGGTCACATAGCCAATAAGTATCAAAGGCAGGACTCTATTCATGAAGCCACACTATCTCTGTGATTTAATTTCTGATAATCCTAGCTCTTAAGTAATTATTTTCAGTTTACTAGTTGTTAGTATTGAAAACCTAATCAGTAAATCTACATTTTTAATAACTTACTCTTTATCTTGAAATTTATTACAATAAGGATTATGAAAAAATTCTTACTGAATAGCCTTGTCAAAGATCAGCTAAAGTGTTAAAAATATCAGCAAGTATATGTAATACATACTCTTTATTTACAAAAAATTTAAAAGATTGGGACTGTATCATGTTAGTGGCATTCCCTTACCTCTACTCCTTGTTGGTATCTTTGGTTTAACACCTTAAGTCCAAGTTTCAATGGTTTTTAAATGAGAATCGTTTTAACCAAAAAACTGGAAATTCTGTTCAAGCATTTACTGAGTATCTTATTTTACATGTCCTGCTGGGTGCTGAAGATATAAAGTCAAGAGCAAATAGTCCCTGCTCTCAAGTAGTTTATATTCTCCTATGTGAATACAACCTTGTACACCCCCCCCCACCCTAGTAAAATGCGAGGTAATGTTCAGTGGTACAAGTAGTTGGAGAGCATTAACTAATGAAAGACCACATGTAGGAGTTCTCAACCTCAAAAGGATTCTACAGGTGGAGGTAAAGAGCACATGGGAGGGAGAGGGGGACGTGCTGGGCAAAGGCAAGAGGCAGCACTGGAACATTGTAAAGGGGAGATAGTGTACTTGATGGAGTGAAATGTAATCTGTGGCAGGGAGGAATGGGAAATCGTCTGGAGCCAGATTAGAAGGGCTTTAAATGTCAGCTTTGAGAGACGATGGAGAGCCACCGAATATTATTCAGCAGGAGAGTGAGGTGGCAGTGCTTTAGGAATGTCAGTCTGAGAGCTGTGTGAAGGATGGTTTGGAAAGGGGAGAGA